TTTGATGTTATTTCGTGAGATGCTTCTACAAGGAATCAAGCCAGACGGTTTTACTATCTCTAGTTTGGTTAGTTCCTGCGCCAAATTGGCCCTTTTGCATCATGGTCAGGTTGTGCATGGGAAATCGATTACAATAGGAGTTGATAATAACTTGCAGGTGACTAGTGCTCTTGTTAATATGTATTGCAAATGTGGAGTCATTGAGGATGCCTGGGTTCTATTTAGCATGACGCCAACCAGGAATGTGATTTGTTGGAACTCCATGATTTGGGGCTTCGCACAAAATGGACAGGATATTGAAGCACTAGCCCTCTATGAAAAAATGTTGCAGGAAAACTTAAAACCAGACAGCGTTACTTTTCTCAGTGTTCTGTCTGCTTGTCGTCATGCTGGTTTGGTCGAAAAGGGACAGGGATATTTTCGTCGAATTAGTGAATTGCACAGCATGACACCCACTTTGGATCATTATGCATGCATGATAGGTCTTCTTGGTTGTTCAGGTAATTTAGATAAGGCAGTGGATCTAATTAAAGACATGCCACATGATCCAGATTCCCTAATTTGGTCCACCCTTTTATCTGTATCTGCAAAGAAGAGCAATATCAAACATGGGGAGATGGCTGCTAGGCACCTCTTTGAATTGGAGCCTCTCAATGCTGGCCCTTATATCATGCTTTCTAACATGTATGCCAGCTTAGGGAGATGGGAAGATGTCAAATCTCTGAGGTCTCTCATGAAGGCTAAGAATGTCAAAAAGTTTGTTGCTTATAGTTGGATTGAGATTGATAATTACATCTTTAAGTTTGTAGCAGAGGATCGGACTCATCCAGAAACAGAAATGATATATAAAGAGCTGAACAGACTTATTAAAAAGCTGCAAGAAGCTGGTTTTACTCCTGATACAAACTTAGTTCTACATGATGTTGTTGTGGAGGAAAAGTTTGAATCCATTTGTTATCACAGTGAGAAACTTGCTCTTGCATTTGGACTGATAAAGAAACCTGATGGAACAATACCAATAAGGATCATGAAGAATATTCGTGTTTGCAGTGACTGCCATGAATTCATGAAGTTTGTGTCTAGTGTTGTTGGACGTACCATTGTCTTGAGAGATTCAAAGAGATTCCATCATTTTATTGGAGGGAAATGCTCCTGCAATGATTACTGGTAACCAATATTATGAATTTTGACACATGATGGATTGTCGTGGAAAATGTCCCTGATCTGTTTGATTACCAAATTCCTACAGCTTTTCTGTTTTAGTACTGGAGGTCCATGGCAGAAGGGGAATTTCTGATGAAAACAAAAGCCACAGATAGAGAAGGAAACATTATGAGGCAAGGATGAACCACATGAAGATGGAAGGAAATATCTGCTGGAGAATTTGTGAAGGGAAAAAGTTCTTAAGCTGGTAATCTTGGAGATTTTTTTCACAGGTCTACCCTGGAGGGATGCACCTGAACAATACTTTTGGTTTTGGATGGTAAAGTTTTCTGCAAACAGAAACCGAAGATATAGAGATTAGATATATACACAGCTGAACAAGGAATAATCTGAGACCTCCTTAGTGCTTTCCTCCTGGAAAGATGATAACTAAAAAGATTAAATTAAAAAAACAATTATTATTTTAAACACTTCATCTGAAAAAAAAAAAAAAAAATTGTTAATTATTATGCTG